CACATTCAATAATAATCAACGAAGGTTCATAAAAAACTTACTCTGCAGGATACTGGAAAAGGTTGATAAAAAACAGCTTGACGTCGTCTAATATGTCAGGAGCAGCATCAGCCACAATTCTTGATACTTTATAACTTATCTGTAAATAAAAAATAGAGTCTAGGGAAGAGATTAGAAGTGGTGGCATGCTTGGAAGAAATATAATGAACACAAAATAGAGAACATTACACTGATCAAGTTAGACAGAACAGTGTAATCACGTTCCTCCCTGTAAGCGCTCATCAAGGTAAGCAAAGAGGTCAAAGACTGTTGACATGCCATGGACAATGCATAATAATCATCCAATACTCCTGCGCAGGAGAATATAACATAACTAAGAGAATATAACATAACTAATTTATTCTACCGTTGAACAAGATATTCATCAAGTCAAAAATTGGAATTACCATATTTATCACTTGTTGACAGGCATTTTCTCTCTATTGCAAGTCTAAGTCTAGCCGATAAATCCTCATCGTATTTCACTCTATAAAAACCAATCTGATCCACATTAACTTTAATCCAAGAACTGACATTTGAAACTGAGGCACATGAGAGCTCCTTTAAATTAAGACTTTCAGACACTGTTTGCAGCAGGAAACTTTTACGAGAATCATAAGAGCTGCAGCACAACGTTATAGGAACTATCCATTCCCCATCACCACGAGAAGCACCCAATAAAAATTGTGTCTGTCATCAGTGGATAAAAAGCTGTCAGAACTTCTGAAAGCCATCTAATATACATCATACATGAAAGGAAATTGACCTTGGGTAGGACACGAAAGAGAATAAGTGAATAACTATAGGATCTCTGAACAGGAGATAACCTGCTCAAACTCCAATTTTTGGCCTTTGACTCTCACTGAGACAACAGGATAACCTTTTTGCTTTGTCCATGAGTTCATTAGCTTGTTCACCGGCTCACCAGATTCTTCCTGAAGAACTGACCATAAATCTTCTGTCTTCGCATTTGAGCAAGCATATCGTTTTATGTATGAAGCAAGTGCCCGCTGGAAGAAGTCCGATAAAACAGTCGTAAATTCTCAAACGAACAGATAAGAGGAAGAATAAAAATCTGGAATTAGAATACATAAAAAGAACTAATTAAATGGTTGAAGCATATCTTACATAGACCTACATGAATCTCATATTTCATGGAACAATGCAATCCCGGTAAAATAACTTTGAAGAAGGAGATGGAGAGATAGATTATTGTTGCAAAACATTCTATTTCTTTGGAGGTGACAGAACATATAGGGCTAAATGCCTAGATCGAATAGAGTGGCAAAAAAGGATTTATGCCGATCCCACATTTATTATTGAGAACAAGGTTTAGCTTGTACCTTCTATGATATTTTTAATTCAGTTCAATGTCTACTATCTCAGACAACATATTAGTTTTATATGGTCTTTAACCATCTGAGATAACAAATAGTTATGTAGTTGACAACCAAAAAGACAGCTCATCCAATAAAAAATTACAACTACATTTTGAACTGAAAGGTCTGCTTTGTAATCGAAGCATCCAATCCTGAAAAGGTGGGAATCAATTGAAGCCATACAGGAAATTGGGTTGGCTTCTACTTGTAAATGAGCACTGAATTGTTTGGAGCAAGTTGGTTAGCACCTATTTATGGCTTTGGCCAGTGGTTTAACGTCAGGTGGCTGCAGATGTGATATCAAATGATGAGGACTGGACCAAAAGTAGAGAACATCAATATGCATAAGAATACAGTAATGTTAGCAGATTTATAAGGCAATCCCAATCCTTAAATATTTCACTGTCTTACATTTGAGATGAAAGAATTTTATAATACCAATGTTTTGATCCACAAGTCAAGTGGGCATAAGAATAGTACAGTTCTAGGTTCATACACAGAACCACAGCCCAAAACAAATGCATAACTAAAACGACAAAAGCACCAACCTAAGAAACATCTAGAAATTGGAACAATTGCAAGGGAAAGAAATTGAAGAAAAAGAATTTGAAAAGCAAATAACCAACCTGAAAACATTCGGGGCCAAGATAGCTCTGTAGCATCCGAATGACAGATGCACCCTTTCTGTAACTGATTGCATCAAAAATTTCATCAATTTCATGTGCATGATTTATATCCACCTGAATAGAAGATCGTCGTAACATTTAAATTCTAAAATAAAGACTAGTGATGAGCAAATATGATAATGTCGTTGTCATTTCTAGCAGGCATCAATTAATACTAAAGTCATGATTGCTTACCTCAATGGGGTGAGATTCTGCGAGCCCATCTAGTCGAAGCCCTTCAGTACTTTCCTCAAGAAACTGAGTCCAAATTTGCCATTCTGGGAACAAGCCATCAGTAGCTAAATAGCTCACCTGAACCGCAAAAGGCCAAAAACAAATAATTATGAAGCAACTAATAGTGTAAATGCATAAGCATGTAAGAGTACCCAAAAAAAAAACACAAAATACCCATGTTGCAAATCCCTCATTCAGCCATAAATGCGTCCACCATTCCATAGTCACAAGATTGCCAAACCACTGGTGTGCAAGTTCGTGGGCCACAACAGTGGCAACCTAAATAGGATATAATTTTTATGATTAAAACATGAATCATATAAGAGGGCTCCAATGACAATATATTAAGTTGACTAATTAAAATTCTGGAAATTTGATAAATATCGACAGAGTTTGCTTTACCCTTTGCTTGTTAGCAGCTGCAGAGTGCTTATCGTCATAGAGCAAAACAGTTTCTCGATATGTAACTAGTCCATAATTCTCCATAGCCCCAGCAGCAAAATCAGGAATTGCAATCATGTCCAATTTGGGTAGTGAATATGGCACTGCAAAGTACCTGTAATTTTTATTTAATAAATTTGAAGAGGAATTAATTATTTCAGTCTGTTGTATAAGCATCTAAGATATATCCACTAATGGAAACTGAAAATATAACTGTTCTCATGTTATGCGCAATGATAAATCACAAGTACACTTACTCCTTGTAGAGGTCAAGTGTTTTAACAGCAACATCCAGAGCAAATTTTCCTTGATCTCCCTTGCCAATTTGGCAGTATACCCTAACAGTGATTCCTGTGAAATTTGATATTGCTTCATCATTAAGAAAGGACAAATAATCACACAGAACAAACACAAAGATAGAAGGGTAGTAACAAATATACCATCAGGGGTGTGATCTTCAACATAATCAAACAAGCCAACAACAACTGCTACCAAGTATGTGGACATGATAGGTGATTCTTGATAATACACTGTCTTCAGATTCCCCTCGATTTTTTCTTCAATGACTGGCATGTTGGAAAGAGCTACGAGTTCAAATGGTACTTCCAAGGTAATCTTGAAAGTAGCCTGAATTGCAAGTTTAGAGTGAAGCAGAAACAAGGGTCAAACAATCAAGATTTTTTGAGCAATTTGAAATAAAAATGCAGTTAGTTAAATAACAACTCCATTCGAATAAGCTAAAACTAATTCTGTAATTAATGCTGGGATTGGATTTGGGAAATGTGAGATATCTCAATCAGCAAGTAAACTGAACAGTCTCTCTACTGTGGTTGTCATATTATGAGCTTGTTTGGGATGAATTAAAATCCAATTAAAATTGAAAATATAGCCGTTATTGGGTCCCACCCGTCTAATAAAAGTCAACTTCAACGGCTATATTTTCAATTTTAATCCCTCCCAAACAAGCTCTATATTAAATGAATTTTATATTACTTATTACCGAGTATTCCTCAGACTTCAGATACTGTAAAATCCTAAAATGTATAAAGAAATAATCTGACAATTTCTGTCAAGATGAAATTGTCATTGCTACAATCCTTGGAAAACTAAAGGACTGCATTTATATTTCCTTTTGGGAACTTCTGCAATGTCAAGGGCAGCCAGGTTTATGCATTCCATGATAAGATTTAGAGTATCAAGTGTTTTCTCAAACAAACTCTATAATGGTAACCACGAGTACAAGCGCACATGCTTGGCAGCAGAAAAATGGTAGTACCTTACAAGCAGGCTCATCCCAGCATGGGAAGCAACGTCTTGCATCGGCTGGTTCAAACTGTGTAACAGCCATATTTTTCTTCTCCCCATTATGCTCATAGGTGCTGGACAGACAAAAATAAATCAAGTGAAAACCAAAAAAAAATTATTTTCTTGTCGATATTAGAACTAGAAAAAAAAATGCAAAACAACTTTCTTTTTTTTTGGGTAATATTTGAAAGGTTAACAAGTTATTAACTTGCGAGATACCTATATCAATTATAAAGAATACTTTTAATCAATAGACTGCACCACTCCATCATATAATGTAACTGAGATTTTTAATTTAGAAAGTAGAAACCATTCTTGAATGATGCTGGTGGGAAGATAATCTATTGCCATCTCAGAATTGTCCTGAGAGAGCACAGGCATGCATTTCTTCGTACCCACTTTTCAAAGACCAATTTAAGAAAAAACCAATAATTGGCTTTGAACCTCCAATTAGTAATCTACCAGACATATAATCTGTCACAAGCACATTAAAAAATTAAATGCACATAAGGAAAACCATTTAAAAACCATCAATACATGCCAGCCTGAACTGAAATTACAACTAAATCTAGCCAAAATTAGGATATCTAACAAAACAACAAAAGTACACGAAAAATGTCCTGCTATAGGGTATTAACCACAGTAACATAACTGCGTATACAATATTCATCTACACATATAAATAAACCATAAAAAGATACCTTCTGTAAAACCCTTTCATTCTATCATTCAGAGCCCCCTCGAAAACCATGCTTAAAACTCCAACTCCAAGCGGTAAACTCTCCTTAAACTCCAACACCATTATCTCATCCTCCTCACACATCTCCACATCCACCGCCTCCACCGCCTATTCAATTAAATCAAAACCAAAAAAATCAAATCCAAAATGTAAGAAATAAGAAAAAGAGAGTCCACGTTATTCGAAATGATTAAAGGACGGCATTTTGCTTTAGCTATGACCTTATCGTTGGATGTGAATTTGACGGAGTTAGATCTGACTGAGAGTTCGGCGGCGTTAAGAATGAGGAACTTAGTGTCGGACACAACGTCCACGGAGATGTCGACGGCGCCGGTGAACTTGCATGCGGTGAGGTCGGGTTTCAGTTTGAGATCATAGCGTTTGGGGATTGCGAATTTGGGAAGCCTTGGCTGGCCCTTGAATTCGGAGAACTTCTGCTTCTGCTGCTCCATTTTTGTGCAAAGTGAATTCTACGGTAAGTAATGAATTGATCTGTGTTTATATAGTTGCGACCGAGCTAGCGCGTGACGACTACTGCATTTTGCGTGCAAGTGAATATTCTGAAATATAAATAAGTTTCATAATGGGTCCTTCGTCTATACAAAATATAGCAATTAGGTCTCCAACTTTAAGTTCAGGTCGTCCTTAAAGATTGTTTGGCGTAAACATCTTCAAAGATGATTTTTGTAATTAATTGTCCGTACCAATGGGGATTATGAGAGAGAAGAAACGTCCATCCTCTTCAGCCACTTCACCTTGTGCCCATCTCAGGACTGCTTACCACAACTGCTTCAACAGGTGAATAATTCGATCATTTACTTTCTAGTATTTCCTCTTTTATTTAAATTTTCGAGAGCATTTCTTTTGTCAAATTTAATTCTCCGGAACCCTAACTAAACCTCGGAGACCTGAATTCGATGTTATATGCAGGTGGTATGCAGAGAAGTTCTTGAAGGGTGAGTGGAACAAACAGGAGTGTGTTTCTGAGTGGGAGAAATACAGAGGATGTTTATCTGTAAGCTCTTATTAACTGAAATTTGAAGTGAATATCTATTTGCAGATTTTTAGAAAAGAAGTAAAATTTCAATTTGGGATCTTAATTTTCGGGTTTTTCTTTTTTATGCCAGCAAAATTTGGACGATAAGCATCTGAGCCGATTCTTGGAAGCAGAAGGCATCGTCGATTTCACCAATCAAGCTGAGTATAAAAACCCCACCGGGGTTTCTAATTGATTTTTGCCAAGATTCTGCAAGAACTTGATTAAGTTGTCTACTGCATTACATATGAGAGGATGCATAATTACATGTCTACAAGAAAAATTGATCTTTACAGGTTTCTATTAACACTGTCCATCTATGAAATATAGCAGGTATGCAAGTCTAGTGAATGGCAAGATGAGAAACCCTGGCCACAGGGGAAGGTCTTATTTAGTTCAAACCGTTTCTTAGATAGATGACATTTTAAGGGTAAATGTGCTTGAACTCACTGTTAAATTTATGACAAAAGTCATCTATTATTTCCTTGACTTTCTTGTTTTATGATCCTTCCTATGGATGGAATATAGAAATTTAATTTACGATAGACATTTCTTCATTTATCTTGGAACAGCTGATATGTGCTATCATAGATTCGGCTAGGTGTAGAATGGAACCTGGAATTTCCGTTCGTGTTCTTTTTTCACTTCTGTAAATAAAATCTTATTCTCTTAAGTTATTGAAGGGAAACCAGCTTGTTCTTAAAATTTGTGTCATTTCTCTTGTTGTTATGCCATTAACCATTGTGAAAACATTAAAGAGTGATGCCACTACCAATAATCGTATCCACATAATTTTTACAAGTTTCTCTGTTATCTCTCCTTTTGGTTTTTGCCTTCTTTCTCCGGGTTCTTCTCTACAAGCATTTATGCATAGTCCTTGTTAGATCTCTCAGTTTCAGTACCAAGAAACCACCTGCAAAAGAAAACCAGACTAGTATTGATAAAATTTAACTTGCGCTATTTTCAGAAGGAGAAAACCATAGACAGGAATGAAGCCTTATATTTGGTGGAGAATGAAGAGCAATTATTTAGGATTGGTCTTAATTCATGTATACAATACCCTCCAAATTTCAATTTTCAAGTAGGATTGGGAAAGGTTGGATCTCAAGATATTGGGCTTGCAACCGAGACTCTTAAGACTTTCTATTCTGAATTAAGATTAGATTCATTTGTGGTTCTTAGAAGGTATATGTTGGCACTAATTCATTGATTCGCCAAGCTAAATCCAGCACGTGACCTGAGAAATTCGGGGGTAAATGGAACCAATTCTGACAGTTGAGTTGTTCATTTTTCTTCTGTTACAAAATCCTTTCTTTTGTTAGTTGGTTCTAGTGTATTGAAACTTGGCCAACTGCAGCTAGTGCATTCTAATAAATGACCTTCCCGAGGATCTAATACTTTAAACCACGACCTACTTTCATTTTATTCAGGCGTCCACTGCGAGTAAGTTCTGATCTTGTAATCTCATTTAAAAAATTTATAGTTGGGTGCAAATCTTCTCCCCTTCCCCATTCTCGTTTATTTTTTGAAGTCTTTGCTCTTGTACAGGCCTCGAATTTGGCTTTTCATAAGTTTTCAGTACTTATTTTCGATAAATTTACAACTTAACTCTCTCCGTTTAAGAAAAGGCTATTGAGTTGAAATCTTGTAGTTACAGAATTATGCACTGTCTAAATTTATTGATATCAACAAGTTTATTATGTAAATACAGAACCAGGGCCGGCCCTGAGAATATTGAGGCCCTAGGCAAATAATTATATGAGGCCCTTAAAACTAGATATAGTTTTCAATCTTTCCAATAGCAAATAATTCCTTCAAGAATTCAGAGAGATTTGCCCAAATGTGCAGTTTTCTTCAAATTTCTAAGTAAAACAAGAAAGCCCAATACACAAATTAATTCATTTCACTATATAAAATGATATTCCAATGAGGTTTCACAGACCACCGCCAAACAATATTGAACAAACGAGAAACCCAACAAGCGCCCTTAATATTCAATAAATCAAGAAACTCGTACCAATGCAAACGGGAGAAACAAAAACCTGAATAATGAGCCAAAAGTTTACTCTTAAATGCAGATGTTGAAATCAACCAAAAGTATTTTTGCATCTGCCAAAATCGTATGAACAAACCACTATGCGGAAGACAAAATTACAAAAGAAAGTAGGATCTTGTATGGGATTTTTCTGCAAGTATAAGTTGGATTGAAGGATCATTTTTTGCCGTTTGGTTAATTTCTCACATCTTCTCTTCCAACCTAGGAAAAAATGGCTTATTTTGAACAACTGGGTGAATTTTGGACTGGTCTTTGGGGGTGAGTTTTGGCTGAATTTTTTTTCTAAGAGGCCCATGTAAATGATGAGGCCCAAGGCGGCTGCCTAGTTGGCCTTGGGCCAGGGCCGGCCTTGTTACAGAACCTTGATTCTGGTGGAATGTAGCTGTTTAGGAGAACTGCCATTAAATGTAGCTTGTCGTGCTTCATTTTATATGTTTAACTGGTCTTTGACACATGATTGTTCATTTATGAAAATAAATTTTGGTCGAGGCCGCCATTATTAGTAGTCATAGAGATAGATTAAAAGAGGAATGGCTTAGGTTGTCAGACATACCGTTTATAAACGTTAAAAATTTCTTGTTCATATGAGGGATGATAGAAGAGGGGGTGGATAAACTATGTCGGGAATCGCCCTATCTATCCTCCCGATTGGAGGTTTGTTTTCAAACCCCCGTTATAATACAAGTAGGCAATAAAACAAACCTCCGTTATAATACAAGGAGTAGGCAATGCTAATGTGCCAAGGATGATCCATATTTCAGAGCCTGGCACCGTTAATGTGCACATTGAGTGGCTGAAAGTCTTCATCGTCCAAACACAATGGCACAATTATTAGAGTTGTGCTCCACGTTTGAGCTAATAAGCTTCATGCGAGATTCTCACTAGGGCTGCTAGACCAAAAACGACAGGAACTCCATCCCCCTCTTTCCCTTTGTCACCCCAGTGTTGTCACACAAGATGTAAAAAAGGAACCTATCGACTTGTTGCCATTGTGATCTTTAAAAATCCTCCTTATATATTCACTATTGCACCAATTAAAATTGTATTCATGTATTCAATCTCAAATTTACTGCAGTATTTAACAATAACTTAGAATTTGTTGTGCCTTTCTTATTTAGTTTATTTAAATAAAATACATTTTATTAACGAATAATATTGTTTTTCTCCATATGATTATTCGTCTTAGCAGGTGATGTGCAATTAAATAATAAGTTCAATTAAATGTATTAATGAAAGATTCACTATATAGATTTTATTATTTAATGTCACATCATATAGTGATCAACAATTAGAGATGAATAATACTATTCTTTCTGAACACACGGACCTTACGTAAAAAATTAGAAAATAATTTTATTAAATCTTTTCCATCAAAATAAGAGACAAAATATTTTTTGATGCAAACTAAGAACGAAAATGGCATTGAAAATCTTGAAACATATTTCTTTTTGTTTTTGAAAAGTAAGGAAATTGATATTCGATAATATGATTTGCTAGGACAATACATTAACAAAATTACGACATACACTTAGGGTACGTTTGATTGCGATGGTGGAAAATGGGAGGAAAAAAAATATTTTACAGGGAAAAGATTTGCTTAGAAAGTGTTTTGCATGGAAAATGATTTCAAGTGAGTGTGATTAGTATAATTTTCCACCCGAAAAATTTTTAAATTTTATATTCATTTTGTTTTGTTTTACATGGAAATTGTTCATTAAAGTGATATTTTTTTCCACAATTGGTTATAAAATTTGTTTCCATTGCCAAAAAGTAAAAAAAAAAAAAAAAAAAAAATTTGTTTCTTAAAAAATCATTTTTTTAATAAATTTTTTAAATTTTCTATTCGTTTAACTTTGTTTTACATGAAAATTGTCCATTAAAATGATATTTTTTCCACAATTGGTTATAAAATTTGTTTCCATTGTCAAAAAGTAAAAAAAAAAACAAAAAAAAAAATTGTTTTCTAAAAAATCATTTTTTTCATCAAAGTTTAATGTTCGTTTGATTTTATTTTATATGGAAATTGTCCATTAAAGTGAAAGTTTTTTTTACAATTGATTATGATATTTGTTTTCATTTCAAAATTTAAAAAAAAAAATTTGCTTCAGTCCGTTGGAAATGTTGGGAAAATATTTTCAAGGAAAACTAAGAAAATGCTGACGTGGCGGGTGGGGAGGGAAAATATTTTTCAGGGAAAATTTGGGCTATCAAACAGCGTAAAAGATGGAAAACGAAAAATATTTTCCTACTTTCCTGGAAAATTTCGCCAATCAAACGCGCCTTTATAACTTCTGTGATATACTCAATTAGAAGTAACTGAATATGAGAAAACGCATGACAAAACTTTTCATATACCGAACTCTTATTCGCTATGGCGCATTATTGGAGAGTCACAATAATTTTTTGTTATTACACTAAAAATAATATAAAACATCAAAATAGTCAAAAACATAAGATGCAAGGGAGAACTCGTATCATTATTTGGTGTAATTACTTGAACCACATTAAAAATAAACTTTCACGTTAGATTTTGAAAAAAGAAATTCTACAAGTATTTATGTCAGATAATTTTTTTAGCTACATACCAAAAATCCTAATTTCTCATGAACATAAGATTTATATGAATATGAAATTCAACTATGAAAATGCAAAACTTCGTCTACTCAAAACTTCGACGATACGATGAAAGATCCACCCTACATATAGAATTATAACATTTTTCAAATATGTTTTAAGTTTTTCCAACGACAATGGGCATTGGGCAATGGCCCCACGTGCTAAAAACACAAGACAAATAAATCATATCGTGCTTTTTGAGTAAGGGCCCAGAAGAAGGAATAGAAAAACCCTTCGCTGTTTCTTGCAGCAATCCAGAGGTGGATCAGCCGTGTCGACAACGCCATCCCCGATAACATCCGGCGTAGCTCAAAATCAGAGCCAAACAAATTCCATTCTTGCTTCTGCTGAACGCGAAGCCCAGTAGCCAACCTTGACTTTGCTGATTGAATTTACAGATTTCTTGTAAGTTTCAAGAAAGTTTTTTTTTTTCGGGGATATGCATGATTAATGAATTCTTCGTGTTTCTGTAATGGGGACTTATTATATGTGCTTGTATATATCTGTAACGTATGTTGTACGTTCCTCTGTATGTGTGTTTTTAATCCAAGAAAAGGTGAAGATTTCTTGACTTTGTAGTTATTGAACTGTTTGGTTTAGTGGAAAATAAAATGTTGAGCTAAGCATGAATGAGGGATTTTGACTTGAATTTTCCAATTTAAGTAACTATGTGAATCGACCAAATTATCTAAAAACTCACTTGGCTTGGGAAGACAAAAAAAGGAAAAAGAAAAAGAGGAATCTACTAATTTTCTTCTAAAAATCATTTACAGAATTCCTGATTTTGGAAATTAAAGACCCCCAAGCAAAAGAAAACGGATTCAAAAGGCCTAATTTAGCTGCTTTCTGGACTTTCTAAATCAGAATATCATTTTTCCATTTCATGATTTTTCTATGGTGGTTTGTCCATTAACAATAAATTCTACAGGTCAGTTCGAACTTCTGACTGATGTACATAATTATTTCTTAAAGATTTTGCTTTGGGATTAAAGAGGATGTCATCCAAAGTTGAATCCTGGAAGAACTATGGTGAAGAATTTAGCAGTGGACATTTATTGCGTGATATTGAGGAACTTAGCAAAGCACTTTACTTGCATAAAACTCTGCCTAAATCATTAAATTCATCACCCAATCATCGCCATGATGTGGCAGCTAAAACTAGGTCTCCAAAACAAAAATCCGAAGTCGTTATTCAGGATTCGTCACATAAGGACAAGAAATCATCAATATGGAAATGGAAGCCCTTAAAAGCTCTGACCCACATTGGTAATCGTAGGTTCAACTGTTGCTTCTTTCTCCACGTGCATGTTATTGAAGGGTTACCTTCAAATTTTGACGGCCTTAGGTTGTGCGTAACGTGGATGCGCAAGGGGGATCTGTTGACAACTCGCCCTGCTCGGGTCTGTGAAGGAAGGGCCACGTTTGAAGAGACTCTAATGCACCGGTGCACAGTTTATGGTAGTAGAAATGGGCCCGAGCATTCATCAAAGTATGAGCCCAAGCTCTCCTTGCTTCACGTCTCTGTGATTGGGGCACCGGCACATGACATTGGGAAGCACTGGATTGATCTAACAATGTTGCTTCCTCTTACTTTTGAGGAGTTAGATGAGGACGAGAGGTGCTCAGGTAAGTGGACTACTAGCTTTAAGCTCACAGGTAGGGCTAAAGGTGCCACGCTAAATGTTAGTTTTGGGTTTTCTATTACGGGGGTTAATTCATTTGAACCAGGATGTTATGTAAAAGTTCCTAATATTGTGAGAGAAAGAAGACCAATAGCAACAGACCATCGTGCTGATTTTGATGGGACTAATGGAGCCAACAGACTACATATGCTCAATAGTGTACAAAGAAATTCAAGTCAAGGATCACATCGTCTGTCCCGATCTTTAGATATTCAAGTTCTTGAGGAAATTTCCCCAAATCAGGAACTTCCCCAATCTGTTACCCTTTTGTATCAGACACCGGATGAGGAGAAGATGGGTAATTCTGTGGAATTTGATTTCTTTCATCGAGATATTGAGTCCCCTACCTCAAAATCTGACCCCTGCTTTGAGTCCGGTGATGGAAGTACCATAAATATGTTTGATGATACTGAGTTTACTGTAATCGAGCAGGGTGTGGAAGTATCTGTGAAGGATCAAGAGAAAATAGGACAATATGATTGTCAAAGTTTTGACAGTTCTGTAATTGAAATCATTGATGCTGCTGAGATTTTGGAGGAAGAAGGCATCATTTCTAATGAGAATGCAGCATGGAATTTGAAGCTTGATGTAAATGGTAATAATGAAAATGAAAATGCCAAGGATGACGGTGAATACAAAGAAAGTATCATGTGCACTAAAGAACCAACTGGTGAAGAACTCGATTCATTGCTAGATATAAGCAAGCATGACGAGCTAGAGAATTACAGGAAGACAATGTCTACATACAAAGGAGGGAAGTTTGTAAAATCACATAGCTTGGATGATGTTGCAGAATCCATAGCCAATGATTTTCTCAACATGTTGAGCATTGAGCAGAATCCAGATGACGAAGTTTCTGATAGTGGGCCTGAGTCTCCAAGAGATCGCCTTTTGAGACAATTTAAAGAGAGCACCCATGCCTGGAGAAACTCCATATTTGATATTGGCATAACGGAAGAACATGAATATAGTTGTCTTGCTTCTAGTGACTGTTCAAATGATTTTGATTTGTCATTCCCTATTCAAGAAGGTGAAAGGAAGCATGGTACTGGAGACCAGTCATTGGGGAGTAAAAGAAACGCTAAAAGGCTCGAAAACTTGGAAACTGAAGCTTTAATGCATGAGTGGGGTCTGAATGAAGAAGCTTTTCAGAATCCTCCATGCACTAGCTCTGGTGGATTTGGAAGTCCAGTCTATATTCCAGCAGAAGAACCACTGAAATTACCTTCTCTTGGAGAAGGCCTAGGTCCAATTATTCGGACAAAGGATGGTGGCTTCTTACGGTCAATGAATCCCTTACTTTTCAGAAATTCGAAAAATGGTGCCAGACTAATCATGCAAGTGTCTGCCCCAGTTTTGTTACCTGCAGCAATGGGATTCAGTGTCATGGAGATACTTCAATGCTGGGCATCTGAGGGAGTTGAAAAGATGTCTACTCAGGCAAATGAATTGATGCCTTTGGAAGATATCACAGGGAAGACGATACAAGAAGTGGTGCGGGAAGCTGAATCTAGATCAAACACGTTTAAGAGGTCTGTAAATTTCCTTTATTGACATTGAGAAATTAAATTAAATTCTCTAGCAATTCTATTTGTAATATTCTGATTCTAAAGCATTTTTTCCCTATGTTTCTCTTTTATACATTCCTACATTGTGCAGATGGAATTTGCAGCATGAAAAGTGGCCACTTACTCAGAATTCCAATACCCTGCTCTCGCGCTCAAATTGCATGGATATAGAGTCAGATTATGTATGTTATGAAGATCTTGTTCCCTTGGCATTAACAAATATCGAAACTCTTTTAATTGAAGGACTTAAGATTCAGTCCAACATGCCAGATCAGGAAGCACCTTCAAGCATTAGGGTCCAATGTGCCAGGAAGTTGGCTTTCTTAGGTAAGAGTGTTCAACTCAGCGGAGACTTTCTTGATGTTGATGAATTAATGAACTACTCTGTGTCAATGGAAGAATGGTTGAGACTGGATGCTGGAGATTTTGATGTCGGTGATAAAATTAATGAGAGAATTGTGAAAATCTTAGCAGCCCATCAAGCTAAATCCATAGAATGGTGTAGTGGACAATTAAGAAGGGATGATGGAAGTTGTGGTGTTTTTGGTAAAAACTTCACAGTAGGTCTAAAAGTACAGCTCAGGAATCCATTTCGTAATTACGAAATGGTTGGTTCCTCAATGCTTGCTCTAATTCAAGTAGAGAGGGTTTATTCCCCACTGCAACGAGAAGAGAATGGAGAAAAAGATGGTCAGGACGAGCAATTGATTCAAGAAAGGATCAATTTTGAACCGAAACAGAAGGAAATCCATGAACACCACATTCCTTGGTTTAAAATATTGGACATCCATCTTGCCGGTCTGAATGTAGAGCTTGACGATAAACAGCTTTGGGGAACCAGAAGACAACATCAATCTGGATCCCGATGGTTGTTTTCTAGTGGAATGACTGCTAATAACAAACTATCAATCTCCATTTCAAATGCAATTGTAAAATCATCAACACAGATAACGAGGAAGGCATGCCCTGGAGATGTGTTGTGGAGCATCTCCTCTAATACACAAGATGAAGCAGCTACATGGGACGAAGCTGTTGCACTAAATATTCATGTAAGAAATCCTGATATTCATTTTCCAAATGAATTTGTTAGATTCCCGAAAGAGTAGAATGATCGCAACTTATTCAAGCTTTTGTTTTTGCCGGATATATGTGCTTTAGTCTGGGGTTTGATAGTTAATAGCATTGTACTTTGTACAAGAAACTGTGCAAATTAGCTGAACATAACAGAACTGTACATCCATTTTAGTAATGTAGTCCAGTTCATTTTAGTATTCTTTTTGACAATAATAAGTTTTTGTTATGGTCATAATTTTTTCGTTAATATGTACTCAGATTTTGTTTAGGCATCCACTTTGAATTGTTCTTGTTAGATTTTGTTTATAAGAATGCTGGTAAGTTTATGTTTATATCTATGACATATACCAACTCTGCAATTTGTCTCCTATACTGTCTCCTATACCTGTAAACTTGTGGCCAAACGGTATGAGGAGACCATACATGCGTTTTCATTAAGGACGGACGGATGCATTTTGGCTGGAGATAACAAGCATTTAGCTAAGCTTTTGTCTAAATAAGTATTGAATTACTGGCAAAATAAGTAACTTTTAATTCTGATTAGTAAGGGCGTATTCTCTTTATCGTTTTGAAGCCATTTTCTATTTTCGATTTTTCAAAACAATGAAAAAACATTCTATTTTCGAAAACGCGTTTTTGAAAACAAATTAAAAATTTACAAAGAAAACTCAAAACGAATTTTGGGTGTTTTCAGTTATAATCAAGTCAATCAAAACGAGTTTTGGGTGTTTTCAATCACCGCCAACCACCACTGAGAAAGAGGGGAGGGGAAAGTAAACGAATTTTTCATTTTTATTTTATTTTTGAAAATAATTTTTCAAAATGTCAAAAAGAAGACATTTTCAATAATCTTAAAATGAATACTCAAAACACAAAATCCAAAATGAATTCAAAATTCAAAAAACAAAACTGAAATACAAAGAAAACAACCCCTAAACTTTTCAGCTTGGCCGAACATACTCTCTGTGAAATTTTTTTTATCAGCCCACTGAAAATCTGTGTTAATATTATATCTGATACATATTCATTTGGAGTTTGCATAAATTCTGCAGTGATCTAACATTACCAAATGCCCTTGATACATTTTCTGATCATCCCATTAGCTCTTAATAAATACTAAAAGATAGTTTGGAGTATGGCTAAAGAAGGGTGGGTCCTGATCGCCTTGCATAACTATAATAATTGTAAAATGGTGATGCTATTTCAGAATTTTCCATTAGAGCTGCGGACCTTGGTGGTTGTGGATGCCCTCATACGTTGTTACTACATACCTCGGATCCTCTCTGTCTCTTTCGACTCTCTTCTTTACACTGCAGCCTTCAACTGAACACTTGTAATAGTTCCTATTTGATTACATGATATGGTAGTTAGAGCTAGAATCTTTCACAAACGTTCTCACGTCAACACGATAAATAGAGATAGTTGAATACCTTGGATTTGGGCTGTTTTTCACCATTTTTTTCCCATACTTCCTCCATTTGAAGCCATCATCCAGTATCTCAATCTCTGACTTTGTTTTGAAAGCAACCTTCTCTAACTCATTCAATTCTTTCTTCTCTCTGCGACTCCCTCCACCTGCTATAATAACACAAACACAATACAATAAAACACACATCGTCTACACGCATTTTTAAATAATGACATTTAAGACTTGCTTACTGGTACTATCTCCTTCATGATAGACACTACTGCTTCCACTGGACATAAAAACTTCATTTGCTGCATAACCTGGATTCTGAGGTTCACCCGACTCAACAAACGCTGGATCTTCATCAATCCAGTCATCGAGTTCGAAGAGATCAGAAACTTCGAAATTCGTCTCAGGGACGGTGTACTCACTCGTTGGCGTGTCGCCGGGAATGTTTATATTGTGATTTTGCTTATCCATGCTTATCAACTGAACTTTCTTGCTGTTTATATATCAGCTGTGGATACTTCCCACTTCCTAGTATGTCGAAAGAAGCTTCGTAGGAATTTCTTATTGCTTAGCAGTGGTGGCTAAGTCACCAAATTTGTAACATCACAAAGAGTTGGAGGCATGTGCGAAGACTTTCTGATTTCGGTTTTGGTGTGAAGTTTCAACAGTCTCGTGCTCAGACCAACCCAATCCCAACGGGTGTCGATACGTTCAATTCTCATACTAAACTTCTTTTTTTTTTTTTTTCTTTTTTGGGAAACCGTACGCTGAGGTGCATTGTTTGAGATTTTACGTGAACTGAAAGAGACATTCCTGTGACTAAGGCAAAGTTAGCCAACTTGGAACCGTTTCGCATGACTTTCGAAAAATTAAAATGAGCTTTTGAGACCCAAAATCTGTTTTTGAACTTGTTTGACTGAATTTATGACAGTGCTTACGATAATTATAAGAACTTTTAAAGCAAAATGATCTATTGTAACTTTCTCTAAAAACACTTTTGGAATGGAAAGTGCTTTAAAAATTAATTTTCAAACAAAAATTAAGATAATTTCCTCCAAAAATTTATCTACTGAAAGTAAAAGCAAAAGTCGCATCAAACGAACCTTCGGTGTTGGATCATATTTGTTGCCCGAAATGATTAAGGATGACAAGTTAAATATTTGAATAATATATCATGATGTATAGATTTTTGTATTAGGAAATAACCAGGAAATCGAGAGTTTGGCTGCAATCTTGATCAGCCATGACGCACTGCCACTAAAAGTAGTTAATTCCCGTTGAAAAAAATGTTTTTTATGGGACTCGAAAAAGATGCACAGTGGGAATGTTCAACTTTTGTGTTTAGCCCTGTTTGGTGCACATTTTGAGAGTAAAAATGCATTTTTACTGTTGATATAGTGATGAATGTGTGGTTGAAAAAAATGAAAAGTTATTGATATGATGAAAAATATTATTTTATTGAAAAATGTGTAGTTAAAAATGAATAGAAAAATAATGTGGCTCAAACGGGGATTTAAATTACTTCACATCAAATACTCGTATTAGATTATTTCCACTAGTCATTCAGTAATATTATTTTATTTTAAGTCAATGTCAACTACTAATTTTAATTATATATTTTATGCGATCCGCAGCTTTTCAATCATACTTTTCATTTACTTTTATCGAAATCTATAAAAATTTGGTTTTAATCTCAACCAAGCAAGTACTTATTAGAAACGTTTATTTTATGATTTACGCCATGTTTGACTCACATTAATTTTTTCATTCTCATTCTTCTACTCATTTTTAACCACACATTCTTTAATAAAATTATATTTTCCATCACATCAATAACTTTTCTTTTTTTTTCAACCACATATTTCTCATCACATCAACAGTAAAAATACGTTCTTTAGACCCACATTAATTTTTTCATTCTCATTCTTAACCACACATTTTTCAATAAAATAATATTTTCCATCACATCAATAACTTTTCCTTCTTTTTCAACCACATATTTCTCATCACATCAACAGTAAAAATACATTCTTTTTCCAAAAATGTGCACCAAACGGGGGCTTAAATTATCATATTGTCCAATTCTTTGCTCCGTCTTTAAAAATAGGCCCTTGTTTGGTATAAATTAAAATCAAGATTTTAATCTAAATTAAAGTTAACAATTAATTTTAACAATGTATTTTATGGCACCCACAATTTTTCAATCAGTCATTTCATCGATTTTTATTAAAATCTACTAAAAATCTGATTTTAATCCCCATCAAACGAGGGGCTACATATTTGTTCAGCTTCGAGGAAAGAAGACTAGGCCCGTTTTCAAGTAGGAAGTCCGAAGTCGCTGTCGATTGAAAATTATAGTCTTTCAACAAGTCAATAGGGGGTCAATTGGGCAGTTTTATTAATTTACAAAGACTTGGTGGAATTAAAGTAGGGTTCTTCGACGACCCGTTATTCTATTTATAAAGCCGTTAATCTCCACAAAAGAATTGTTTACATGCCCGAATATTTTCAAGAATCTCTCTAAATACTTAGACGTCTTTATTTTGAAAAATCTATGTATAAAAATAAGTTTCTACGAACTATCTTATTTAATTTTATAAAATAGAAAAAGTCAATTATATTAATTATAATTAATAAATTACATATTTCAATATTGGGGGAGGGGGAAAACAATATGTTTATTGAAAAGAGCAAAATAAAAACTTTTTTTTTTTTTATGGAACGGAGAAGATGAATATTTTTTATCAACTGACATATTTATGAATGAAAATCTTAAAGGTCCTTTCGATACGCATTTATTGAAGACTTGAAATTACACTACATCTTCTATATCTCTTCTATATAATAAGTGTGTATGAAACGGAGGCAAACAGAATTTCTTGTTTTCCATCCCCCACACCGTTATCAGACGGAGTTGAACAGAATGAATGTTGAACAGAAT